TCTATATGTCTTGCTGGACATATAAATGTTTATTTTTCCATAGGAACTTAATTTTCATCCAGAACAACTCCCTTTGCTTTCATTGCTTTTGTCAGTGACTTTTATTAAAGTGAAAATGGCAGTGCATCTGCTTAATTAGCTTCAGATATCCCAGTGATTACATATTGGAGGAAATGCCTTTGTAGGAAAGACTGTAATTAAACGTTACAGTGAAAACAAATTATCCACTGAGCACCATGCTTTCATCTTTAGCTATTTCATTTACTACATGGGCAGCTGGCTATATATCCTGTGCATGAATTCCAGCTCTGCTGGTGATTTGCCATGCAGAAATACAATTTAAAAAAACAAATTATCAGGGATTTGTTTGTAAAATGATGGTATAGACATCTTCTGTCTAATACTTTAGCAGTCTAAGTTAAAAGGTTTTCAACATTTTGATTTTTGGAGGAATAAAATGTTAGAAGAATTTTTGTTAAAAATCAATTTGTTAGAAGCAGCTGATAAACTTAATTTCTCAATACGTATTGAAATAGCAAAAAAAAAGGAAAAAATTGGAATAAGTAAAACTCCAAAGCTGCGATTGAAATAGCTAAACATAATGTTGTGATTAATATTATTAAAATGAGAACAATAATTAAGCTTAAACAGGACGATATATAGATATCTGGGTGGAATTGTTCAAGCAGCCAATGTAGCTGGTTAAAAAAGTCATCTAATATTTTAAAGATTTGTATTATCTAAATAGAATTTATAGTTCTCTTTTTAGAAAATAATGATAAAGGCTCAGCATTTGCTGCCTCAGTAACTTTCTATTAAAATGGATTTCCCAGAAATTATCATTCAGATTGAAAACCCAGCTTTTGATTGTGTGTAACAATCAAAGTGTGAACAATTCATTCAGTGAATGTCTGATCAACAATATGAAACTGCTTAAGGCAGGCTGCATTTGTGTGAAAAAGGGCCAGTGTCCTGATTTATCATGAAACAGGAAATGGAAGAAAGCTAGCAGCTTGATCTGGATTTGTTTGTCAGAAGATTGCTACACACATCCCCTCGACACAGCAGGGGAGTTGTGAGATTGTTTACCAAAAAGCTGTTGTTATGTTTGCATGAACAGGTTCATTGTTATTGCTTGAATAATGCATCTGGGCCTCTTTTCTGTGTTTTCAGAGCTGAAGACAAGGGTGGGAAGGTCTCTGAGGACAGCTTTGCCGGCTGTCGAACGCCTAAGCACTTTCATTCCAGCTCCGTCCCTGTCCCCATGGCAGTGGACGGCTTGGTACATTCTGCGGCTGGGTCATCCATCAGATCCCCCTCCCTGCACTCTGTGTTCAGCATGGACGATAGCAATAGCCTGCCATCACCAAGGAAACAGCCTCCTCCCAAACCAAAGAGGGACCCCAACACACGACTGAGCGCTTCGTATGAGGCTGTTAGTGCTTGCTTGTCGGCAGCTTCTAAGGAAACCGCTAATGAAGGTTAGGCATAAAGGGAGAAACAGTCGCAAATGTTACTCTAGGTTATTGATTTATTCTTTTCTCTTTGATCCTTTTTAACACAGTCAAGTGCCTTCGAAAAGTCCCGCTTCCCTGAAATATTTCAGTGGCAGTAAATAAAATTAGTCAATTTGTCATTTGTTTCCAAATCAGCAAATAATACTCATGTGTTTTAATTGCCTAGTTTGTCAACAACCAAAACCTATTTGCAGAACTCCCTCTAGAGACAAATGATCTGTCAACTTGAGCTATTCTACCCCACTGACTGTTTTTTAAACTGTATGTTAGAATACCTTGCATCACTAAAACAGAATGCTCGAATCTTGAATTTCACCAAGTTAAACAATAAACTTTTTCCTACTTTTCCTCTATGTTCACATGAGTAACATGCATTCAGTGGTTTATGTTTGTGCCATAACTTGCTTATAGTGAATTTTTTGTTTAGAAGGAAAGTGCTATGAAAGTCCCAAAGTGTCTCAATGCATTATAGTGCATATAGAACAGTTTTGAGTTGTTCTATTCTCCTTCACCCTTGAAATGAATGAGTAGAAGATGAAGGGGAGGAATGCATTCTACTTTTCCTTGATAAGCCTGACTTGTCATGCTTTGTGGAAAGGATCCTCTAGACTTATCAGGGAAGATCCTTCAGGTTGGGTTTAAAGCTATGTATAACCATTCTCTAATCCTGCATACAATGGATGGAAACCTTTGCAACTCCCTCTTGCAAAATAATTACTGTTCTCCTGTCCAGTTCATTAGATGCAAGTCCATTTTTCTTAACCTCTTCCTTGCTCGTTCAAGCGCTGTGTAAGGAGAGATGAACTGCGTCCAATACACTTTTAAACTAGCGTGGCTCAAGGAGTTCTGTAGCGGTGTCGGCTTTCTGTGCCCAGCTCTGCAAGACATGATTGATTGAACCAAAAAGATCTAGCAGAGGTTTTTGAAAGAATAACAATCTATATATGTATGTGTGGTCTTAACACTAATGCTTGTATACTCTCACAAAACAACTTCGGAATTCTTCTCATATGTATGAAATAATAGGGCCAGTTTCCCTGCTGTATATTCATTTTCCAAGAGTTATGTTAGTTTCCTGAGTCTTTGTCCAAAACCAGCTTTGATTTACACCATCTGATTTTGATCTTAAAAGACCAATCACCTAGGTATCTAGTCTCTCCACTCCATACGTGCCTGGAGGCTGTGAAAAGACATCTAGTTTAGTTAACTGTATACTCAGTTGGGGAATTGCCCTTAGGCTATGGGTTTTCCTAACTTTATAAATTATTTCCACACCTGCAGTAAAAAAGAAGAGACAGGCATAATATCTGCCTATAATTAGAGTTTTATAGATATTACATAAAAGGGGGATACTTCAGTTAGTGGCAGTAACGGGTGTCAAAGTAGCACCATGCTGAAACTCCTAGTTAAAAGCATGCCCCTCTCCCTTGGTGCAAAAGGAATAACAAGCGCGTATTTCCATGTGTTACAGATCTTGCAGTGAACATTTGGATTCAAAAGATATCTCAGGTGTTAGTTCTCATCTTTTAGTGGCAGTAGAGATTACCAAAGCAGATTATATGCCCAGGTAGCAAAGGCTTGTGGTTTGGAAGCTGAAAGTTCTGCATTTCATTCCTTGATTTTTACTTTTGACTGAATCCTTGTGTTTGTGACTGCTGCTAATTGTAAAACTATATGGGCAACATTTGAAGGCTTAAAGTACTGGACCTGTGTAAGAAAAAAATGGCTTTGATCTGTTAATAACACAGACCTTTTTCACTTTCCTAGTACTGACCCGTCCAAGGCCACACAGTGATGACTATAGTACCATGAAAAAAATACCTCCCAGAAAACCAAAACGAAGTCCCAATACGAAACTTAGTGGCTCTTATGAAGAAATACCTGGCCAAAAGCCTGCGGATGTAAAACAGGCAAGCACAGTAGCTAAACCAGGTGGCTATGACACTGTGACAGTACAGAGAGCAGCTTCTGCTGATGGGCCACAACATGGTGTGTTGAGTCTCTATATGTCACAAGAAGAGGAGGAAAATGAGCCTGTCTATATTGAAATGGTAGGGAATGCAATGAAAAGCAGTTCTGCTGAAGCAGAAAGCCCAGAACAAGGAGAGTCTGTATATGAAGAAATGAAGTATTTTCTACCAGAAGAAGGAAGCAATGGCAGTGGAATAATTCCGGTAGTGACTGGATCTCCTCCTCTGTTGTTTGAAAGCAAAAAAAATGTTAACGTTGAAGATAGACCATTGGATGGAAACAGTCAAGCAGCTTTGATTTATAAAGACTCATGTGACATTCCAGCCCCTTTCCCTAATTTGCTCCCTCACAGGCCACCACTTCTTGTATTTCCTCCAACCCCTGTCACATGTTCACCTGCTTCTGATGAATCACCTCTAACACCACTAGAAGTCAAAAAGCTTCCTGTCTTGGAAACCAACCTAAAATACCCTGTGCAGTCAGAAGGCTCAAGTCCATTATCACCACAATACTCCAAAAGCCAGAAAGGGGAGAATGAAAGACCAGCATCTCCAGGCTTGGTTGTGTTCAGTGTTTCCAGCAAAGTGACTCCTCCTTCCACACCACCTCCTTCTCTCCCACCACCCCCTCCTCCTGTACCACCTCCTATTTCCTACCGGGCTTCCACACATTTTGCATTTCCTCCAGAGACTTGTGCTAGCTTTCTGATTAATACAGGGAAAACAGGTACAAACTCAGACCTGTCAAAAGTACCTCAGAGACCAAATCCTGCTCAGCTTGGATGCTCATCTTCTCCATTCTCCAAACTGCCTTACTCCCCAAAGTTGGCAAGAGCAGATCACAGGAAATTGAACTCAAATTCGTCATCTTCATTTCCATACAGCCCTACAAACTCAAGGTCATTGACCAGTCCCCTTGATGAGTTAACTAGCTTGTTCAACTCAGGACGGAGCGTGCTACGAAAATCTGCAGCAGGACGTAAGATCAGGGAGCCAGAAGGTAAGACAGATCTCTCTGCTTCTGTATAGTGTATTACTTCTGCACCAAAACTTTCTTACATTGGAAGCTGATAGAGTAGGTAAAAATACAAAACAAAACCATCGTTTGGGGTTTTTTTAAAGAACAATCTGTTGTAGTCATAAGAAACACGTATAGAAAATACATTGCCTATAAAAATTATAGGTCTTCAGGTTTTCTCTGAGATGTCAACTTTTCTTTTACCAAAATGTTTGTATGACACAAATTTAAATGGATTATTTTTAACATTCCAGCAGTCTCAGTAAAATAAACACAGATGTTACATCATGTGAAAATGAGTTTATGGTATCAATCTATAGAAATACTTTGAATGAAATGTATGGCTAGATGTTTGGCAGATAGCATGTACTTTAATTTGAAGACTTTCTTTTAAGGTTTCATTATTTCATTTCCAAGAAATTCTGAATTTAGCGATACAGCCATTATTATTCTCCTAAATAAAGCCGAGACAGAGAGTTGTGCAGCAAACTATATTTATTTCCCTTTTCTATCCTTTTATTCTTACCTTTCCTGTCATTTACATACACTTATGTACGTACCCAGAGATTATTTTGTATCCTGGCTTTCTGGCATCTGTAGTACGTCTTTTGTATCTAGTGCAAAAGCCAACTATAAAAAGAAGCAAACTTGCCATTTTGCTAAGGTTTTTGAGACCACAGTCCTCAGACATTATCACTTAATTATTTGCTTTGTCCAGGTAATAAAGGGTTTAATGTTGTTACTGGAACAATTCTATGGATCTTGCGAATACTGAAAATTCATTCTGATGTTAACAGATTCAATTAGCTGCTCTGTAAGGGTGAGATGCTTCTGACCTAACTTTGTCCATCTAAAAGCTTGATATGTAGGCATCAAATCCTTAGCCTATGAAGAGACAGTCATTTTGAGAGTTTAATCCCTTCCATATATCTTTCTCCATTGGGTATGAGGAAAGCCTAGATGATTAAACTAGTCGAGTTGTAACTTCTAAGTGATTAAAGTTGAAGTAAAACGTGGTTCTGCATATCAATTACAACACTGACTCCAGTTTTCACATTACTTTTCTGATTTAAAAAAAAAGCCTCCCATTGAAAATAGTCAGTGCACTGTATACATAAACTTGTTTCCCTAGTAGCATCTCCCAAACATGAAATTTTGTGAATTTAAAATTCAGAATGATAAAACCTCTGGACTGTTTCCTCTGCTTCTTCACTTCTGTCTGTCCAAACAGCTTGTCTTAATCAAGAGCTGTGTGCAGCATATTCAAAATGGGCAATATGAAGTCCTGTTTTTGAAATAGAAAGCAAAACAATAGATAACGGGATAGATTATCTTCTTATTCATTGTCCATTTTCTTAAATATATATTGCTCCATTGATTTCAGTTTCATATCCTGATTTATGCAGCTATAATAGAACAGAAGCAGATGTTTGTGCTTACTCTGGATATGTGTATGTCTGTCTGTGTGCCGCCCTATCTCTCTATGAACCTTGGCAGCCTTCAGCCAAAACCCCTTTCAACCAAATACAACAAGGAGATAAAGGTCTCAAAACTAATTGAGTTTCTACAGCTTTCATGAAAGTTAGTGGCTAGGTGGAGACAAGAGACTTATACTGGGAGAAAGGCTCCTACCAGCTATCAGAGAAACTGTGGTGGACAGAACCCTTGTGAGTCCTCCAGACCTTGAAAAAGCTTTAGCTGGACCTTGCATGTTCGTAGATGCCAAATTCAATCAGCCATGAGCTATGAACTCAGTTCTCAACCTCAAGAGAATGCCTTGTTTGTTATTCTGAGTATATGAATTGATGAAATTTGTAAAGGAGATGTTGCAGTAGTTTTGCTTGCTTTGGCAAAATTACTTGATAACATCCAACGCCTATAAATGTATGTAGAATTTTTGTTTGTTTGTTTGTTTGCTTGTTTGTTTAAGTTGGGGGTCTTGTTTTATTATGTAGATATTACATTTATATCTGCTGGGAAGTAACTATTAAAGTCAGCTCTTTGGATATATCTTCTCAAGGCTCTCTCAATGTACCTGGTGAGGAAGTGTGGTAAGCCCACTCCAACAAAGTCACAAAACTGACCTTTACCTTAAAAAAAAAAAAAGTTTCTTTGGGATGGAGGATATTTGCAAGCTCAATTTTCAACTAAATGTGACCGAGATAGAGTTCAACTTGGGTCTCCTGTGTGTTGAAGCTAGTGCATTAACAGAGGCTACCATATAAAAACTCTAAATTTACCTTTTGCATGGAAAATGTTGTACTTCTAAATATTTCATCAAGGCAGCACTAAGTATGAAAGATCAAAGTTCAAGAAAGATATACAATAAAAAACCTGAATCAATATTTTATGAGCTAGGAAACTACTGTATAATACTAAGTGCGGTTACATATGAATAGTTCAATGATGAGCAGATGGATTGAAAGTAACAAAGAAATACAGGTGAATGTATGTGCATGTTTTTACAATTTGCCTTTTTTCATGTACTTCATGTCCTCAGTTCATTTCTAGGGTAACTGCTGGAAAAAATATCTTTTATTTAACCTCTGATGCAAAGTAATAGGATGGCAATCAGCAAAGCGGACTCTGTTATGTAAAACCAGAAGTTGTCCATGTCTTACCTCCTGATTTTTTATCACCTATTGCCTAATGCATATTAAGTTCCTGGAAGACTCCTCCATTTCTTCTTTTTGTCATTTGTAGTATTTTGTTTATAGGTGATGGTTGGTAAAAAAAATTAAATTAATTTTAATAGAAATTCATTATAATTGAAGACATGGCCTAGAGCAGCATTCTGTAATGTGCAACTTCTTTTATTTCCATAAGTTATAACCTACCAACAACCTTAACTAAAAACAGAAAGTAAAATTGTGGGCCATTTTGAAGTCAAGGAGAGTTAGCCTTGGGAATCAATAAGTTTCTGAATGGGATCATCAGCCTTTGAGATAAAAGCCTCCTTGCCAATAAAAGTGCAATACAGGCAGATCCCCCAACATGCCTCCCTCTTGCCTGGAGGAATAATTTCAAGGCCTGAGAACACTGATGTCCTTTTGGCTCCTGACCTCTCCGTGGGAAATGATCGTCCAGAATTACAATAGAACGGATTCGTGGTTTTCTGATGGACTGTGGACTTATTGTGAACTGAACTGAGAGCACTCTTCTTTCACACAGGCAACAAAAAAAATAATCAAATGGCAACAATTTTCATGACCTGGTGGCCTAGCCTGGCCATTTTTTTTCCCCAACAGTAGCATCTACTGGTTCAAGCAATGATCAGGATCATATAGTATGCAATTTCTTGCAATATACTTTACATGTAATAGGAGAAGATTTCTGCTCTGCAGAGCTTATAGTTTAAATAAGCAAAACTGTAACAGGTGAGAACTGAGATAAAGTGATTTCTCCAAGGTTGAAAAGAGTTGTCATTGAAGCTACAGCTGTATTGTTAGACAGGGATTTCCTTTTACTCCATATAAAACAAGACTTGAGTGCGGATAAGCGATAATACACACACACACACACACTTTTCTTCTATTCCTCCGGATTTCTAGAAGTAGAAACTTTAGTTTGCAAGACAAATAGAAACTGAATGGTCATGTGCAGAGGTCCGACTCAGATATTTCTACACAGGGCCTTAGATCTGAAACTAGATTTCATGAAAGCCAATTCAATGCCTTAATCACAAAACCACACTCTCTAGCAGAATGTACAAATATTTTTATCTATTCAACATATAAGACATTCCTTATGTAAGGAAGAGACAATTACATGTTTAAGCATTTCATATTAAATATTTGTGAAGCAAGGACAGAATTTTCTTTTCCTCAACAGGGATGAATGATACTCAGATTGCTAGGTCGTAGTGTTATTTGTCTTGATTGGTACAGTTGAAATTAAATTATTCCAATCAAAGAGGAATCATTTCAGCTTCAGAACAAAAGATAGAATAATTCCCAGCCCATCATCCATGCTCAGATTGGCAGAGTGAGTATTCGAGTGGATTCTAAAGGGAAAGGAGCGAAGGAGGTATGATTTTCCCTTAACCTGGATGAATTTCCTTACCATCAGGCTATTGAAATAAAGACTTAATGTCTTCTCTCCTTCCTGCTTGTTGAGAAAAGATTGGCATGGATGCTTGACTTCTGCGTCTGAGCAAAAGAAAAAGTGTAAGCTTGCAACCCCGGATTTAGGTGCCTAAGAAATAAAATTAGGAAGACCTTTCCTTTATGTAGGTCATCAATGTATAGGCTTCCAAGTTTTGTGAATTATTGTTAGTGTTTCAATACAAGTAGATCTGTATATGCAAGTTTACACATGCTTCAGTGACCTATTCCTTTCCAAAACAGTTTAGTAACTTATATAGTAACAACAGAAAAGGCATGCAAACATTAGATTGTTAACAAAATATTGATACTGTTCAAATGTTTGTCCAATATCTTTGGCATCATTAACTATATGAATCCCTTCTTTACCTGCTTCCTAAGTGAGGTACTTCTAAGGCAAGTAGCTTCATATATCAGTAAATTACTCCACATCCTCCAGTTTAAGCACTGGAAGTCACAGGAAGATAGTTACAACTGACAAATAATACAGATATTTAGCCATACCTAGTTGGGACTAATGCTTGCCAAATACTCTTTACTGAAATTGGCTCAAACTTGGAAAATAACAGGATTTAATGTGTATGTATGGGGAGTACTGTCCTGTCAAAGGCAGTAGCCCTTTGATAGCTAGTAAATAATTTCCCTCTATCAGCAGATTAGAGTAAGCTATTGTGCAGCTAACATCTCAGCAGTGGATTGCAAATTAAATCCCCACTGGGGTTTCTGAGATGAAATCTCAGTCCCTTATCCTCTAAGCCACTCAGCTTTTCCTCTTAAGCAACTTAATAAAGATAATATTCATATCTGCATCTTATTATTCCTACATTATATGGATACAATGTAATAGTTTTACTTTCTTTGTGGCAAAAGCTAACAACTTACAAAACATGAGTAACACAGAAAGCTGT